GTCTGGCGACAACTTTCTACCTTCCAGTGCCCTCTTCACTGGTTCTGCTACACACCTGAGGGTCAGGTGTGCAAATCATCCACGACATTGGGCCATGATCAGCGAACTGTGCTTTGCACAGAGCTCTCAATGCTGTAGGTGTTCTCGTGCGTCTTGATGTCGCTATCTGCAAGCTTTGTTGTTGCCACCACAACCTCAGAGAGGACTCGAGGCTTTTTGCATGGGGTTTCTTCCAGCGCCTGCCTGGGCCGACGGCGGGTGGGGGTTCCGAAGTTGCCCTTGAGACTCTCTGTCTCAGCTTTCTTGGCACCACAGCCCTTCAGTGGGACCAGCTCTCCCAGGGGCGGGGGATCCATGTGAAATGGAAGCCCCATGGCGTGGGCTGCTTCTTCATCTGCCGCCATGGACTCTGCAATGTCATCCTGTGCGAGTTCTACCTCCGCTGCAAGCACATGTGTGGAGCTGACTCCCTCGTCATCTTCCCACATGTGGAAAGGAAGTCCCATAGCTGTGGCTGCGTCTTCATCTTCTTCTACGGACTTGCTGATGTCGCCCATGTCCTTCATCATGATGTCCAGTGCAGCCTCAGCCATTGACCCACTGGAGCCCATGAGAGCCTCGTCGTCTTCCTGCATGTCGAAAGGAAGCCCCATAGCCTCGGCTGCTTCCTCATCACCTGTGAAATCCTCCACAGGTAGCTGCCATCGCCAGCTTGCAGGAAAATAGCTCCTGATATCTGTCTGCCCATCAAGGACAGGCAGCAAAGACTCGCAGGGACCGGTTTCAGCCATCACCTCGTTTTGGTCGCTGTCCTCTGACTCGGAATCTCCTGAGGAAGCTGAAGACCCTTCGCGATGGTAGAACTTTCTGATCAGGGCATCGCTGAAGACTCGCTTGATGATGCCCATGCCTTGCTGCTGGGCGTCCTACAGATCCAGCGTTGCCCCGCCCCAAAAAACAAGATGCCCTTGAGCCGATATTGGTGAAGTGCGCGGCAGAAGGCAGCATGCATGGGCGCAGCTAGATGATCAGTGTGAGATGGTGGCCAAACGGTCTAACCAATTAAGTTCTGACTGAACTTGAACTGACTCACCTGTCAACCGTGTGCATGGCATGTGACATGTGCGCACAGAAGACGTGCCCACATTCAGAGCATCCAGCCAGGATGATTGGTGCTGCGCTCGTGTAAAGGCTTTTTGCACCTAAGGAGCAGCAGTTGCAACCATCCTCTCGGAGGGGTGAGCCTGCGCGCACACCTGGCAAAGCTGCCATATCGGAACGCAGAAATGCAAGTTTCTTTTTGGTTCTGCTCAGACGTCTACACAAGATGATGCATAACGAGAACCTCTCGAGACCATGCTTCCCGTGGCCTGCATGAGGGCCGCAACTGGATGATGGTCCTGAGGGGTGAGTGCCACCACTGCCGCGGCAACAACTCATTCAAACATGATCGTACTATGGGAGGTGAATGTCTTGCGGTAAAAACGGTGTGTTGAGGGGGCTCGAGCGCTCGTGTATTGAGCCAGAATGGCCACTGCTCTCTCTCCCTTCTGCTTCTTCTACCCCGAGCGCCCCTCGAGAGGGTCCCCCAGCCACGACGGCCCACTGTTTCTGTCGGGTTCGATTCCACCTGCGCTCCTGGATAAAGCACAGCACTTTTGGCTTTGCTAACGGGGATCCGTTGGGTTGCTACCAGTGGTTTGCGGACACTACTCAGCTTCTACTCAAGCGGCTCTTCTTCTTCGTCGGCTTGCTGCTCGCAGAGGCCCCACGAAAAGGGCGCATTGGCTCCAAGAAGTTCTGTGAGGGAGTAAATGAAAACTGGCAGCCAAAAGTGTGCGATCATTCGTGGCCACCCGTATCTTTGCCCGGGGCAGGCGCATCTCCCTTTGATTTGCTGCCTCAAACAGAATGCCCACCTAAATTCTGGCCCTTGGGTTTTTTGATGTCTTCTCGATTTTTTGTGACAGCGTCCGCACTAGTAACACTCTGCCACACCTGTTCAGGAGTGTTTCCTTTTAGCCCCACTTCCTGCCACAACGTGCCCTGGCAGCGGCTACGCAAGCCCTTCCAGCCTCCTCCCCCCCCCTCCCTTCCCCCCGTCTGCAGAGGTTTGGAAAGGGCACGATATTGCGCTAAGGGATCCTTGGGCGCCCTTTCAACCGCTTGGAGCTCCTGCATGCACGTGCCTCCCAGAAAGGCGAGGAGGGAAGTGGACTTACCCGAGCCTCTCATGGCAGCATCGTGGTGCTCGGCTCCGCCGCTCTTGCTGTTTTCTTTCGTGCTTTCTTCCTTCCTTCCTTCCTTCTTGTGCATGCTTTAGGGCCTCCAAGAGGACCCCATGACGGCCAAACGGCCCCGTGGTCCGGTGTCAGGTTCACCGTTTTAGGTGCCGAAAGAAACTTCTGGAAACTTCGAAGGCCCCTGTTTTGATGGTCCCTTTCCACATCGGCGGTTTCGCTGGAGCCCTGACTTAGCTCGTAGTCGGTCGCGCCGTCCGCAGTGGGTCGGTGAAGATGCATCCCTCCCCTCATCGGCCTGCGCCACATCCATGGGGGGGACCCCACTGCTGCATCGTGTTGTCCCACTCTCGTGTCGCCACTCTGTGGGGCATCTTGTACTTCCATTCTCGTGCTCACTGTCAACTTCCGTGTGCGCCCCGTCCAGCTGGGTGGTTTCCACTTCCTCTTCACCACGTTTCTGTCTTTCTTCCTTCTTTTGTATTTCTTGCTCTCTCTCTCTCTCTCGCTTCCTTTCTTTCATGAGAAGGCAGTCTCCAACCGGCAACCTCCAGAATGTAAATGCTGTGACATGCTTGGCTCCAGGCGCTTGTTAGCTTAAGGTCGGGAAATGACACGTACCTTGCCAGGCACGAAATTCCCAAACTCAGTACACCATCGCAAATTGCATGTGCTCAGCTTTGTGAGCTTTGATTTTGTGTTTGCGTCGCGGATGCGTCGTCGGATGATTCGCAATTGCTCGCTTTGAGCAGTGTGCGGCAACGTGCAGAGCCATGTGCGGCTCCATCATTAGCAGTGAGGAGACGTCTAGTCATCACCCACACAAACATCATCAATCCAGGATGGAGCTAGAGACCAGGACCCGCTCCAACACATGCAGCGACCAGCCGAACAGGAGCGCATGGATCGAGGCAGGTATTCCGGAATCTCAGGGCTCGTCATCCAAGCGCGTGCCAGAGTAGGACCTGTAAGCCGGTTCAGGAGCCACCCCACCATCTCCCCGATCCATGCTTAGCAGCCGAGCCGACTCCCCTGTACCATCCGCGACTTCCTCAGCTGCGAGTTCCGCGAGGACTAGCTGTCGGTAAAGGGGCTTGCAGCTTTCCTGCGCAAGGCGCTGTGGCAAGCGGCGCCAGACAAAAGCATCACGGGCTTTCACGTCACCCGATAGCTCCAGCAGAGCCAAAGCCTCCGACTCCAAGCTTGCTATCTGTTCAGAGATGTCCAGGTCATTCGCGTCATCCCCGAATGGGTCCTCCAGCTCTGTGGAGATGGCGTCGATGCCGAGCAGAGCCAGCATAACGAAGATTGGGACGAAAACACCACCGAACAACCCAAGGCCAGGATCCTCTGTAAAGGGGAAGAGGGCCATCCACACGGTGAGCAGGAGTTTGCAAAGGCAGACGTAGGGCAAAGGCAGGGGCGTTGAGATGATGACTGTGATGCCCTCGTAAGAATCTAAAGCTGACTTCAGGAGGCCAGCCATCAGGGGAACCAGTCGCTCCTTCAAGCCATGGGGCAGGGAGTTGAAGGCATCGTTCATGTTCATCACCAGATTCTCCTTGATGAGGTATGCCAGCGCCAGGTGCGCCCTAGCGGCGGGCGTGGTGGTCACTTTGAAGTGCGACGGCCAGTCGGAAGGCGGTCCGCTGTCGTAGTCACGGAATTGCTCTACAAATTCCTCAAGTGTTGTGGACTGATTATGGCAGTGTATGTTGAACAAATCATCCACCATGCTGAACTCCCAATCCTTGAGGAGCTGACGCAATCGGAACCTGTCCCAGTCGATAGCCCATTTCGTCCTCCGTGAGATGCGGCCGAAGCAGAAGCCTGAATGTTGGAGCCGCGTGTGAGTCTTCAGCATCACCGCAAAAGCTATGCACAACCGCACAGCATTGATGCGGGCTCTCCGAGCAAGCTCGTCGTTGTCATCCTCTTCAATAAGTGCAAACTTGTTGCCGCAGTCCCAGTTGACAGTTCTTCGCCCGCCTCGGATGTAGAGGTTGAAGAACATCACGTAGTCGCGGACATCTGCAAAGAAACGTGAGATGTAGGTGCGCCCCTCCCAGTACCTGGCGTTGGCCTGATTTGCCCGGAAGATCAGGAGGAAGGACATCGTCCCGCCAAGCATTTGCAAATTCTTCTCGCTCTCGGTGAGCATGCTGAACCGCCAATGCTGCCAGCCCAGTAGCTCGTACGATGCATAGATTACCAGAACCAGCAGAAGAATCCGGGGCCACACTTCAGGAAGTATGCTGCCGCGCCACCTAAAGATGACCCGCAGCCAGCTCCGATCATCGTAAATGATCATCAAACCAGGAGATTGATGCCGCTAGTGATGAGTAAATGGGCCCTGAGGTGCTCTTGGCTCTGTCACTGGAGGGCCTGTCCCAACTTTAAGTCACGTCGATCAAGCGACGCCGCCATGGCAACGTCTCAAGCAGCCCCCTACTCCGTACACGGGAAGCCTGAAAGTAACATCATGTAGCAACGCATCGCCGTGCACATCAGAGGGATCTTTGAGGGCATAATTAGGGGCAAGAGGTTTTCGTACAGCCCCAACTGAACGCCCACCCAACTGGAACCGAGCCATTCTGCATCTACAACTCTCCAGGATCCCTGCTCCAGGAGGTCTGCATGTGCGTTGCTGGAGACTTTGTACACCACACGATCGCACCTCAGCTGTCTCACATGCACTACACACCTCAAAGTCCATCGTTCATGATGACTGGTTCATGTACATAGGTATGAACAAATATGTACATTCATAAAAAGATATACAGACGCATGTAGGTGCTCTTAAAGTGTCGGGGGCCTTTGGAAAGGCGGCCCTAGTAACAGACTCAGAGGTGCTAAGCAAAGATCTGAAGAAGTTCGGCAAGGTTTGGAGGGCCCGGGGGTCCCTTCGCAGCGGGACTGCCAAGGAGGCAGCAAACTCAACACGCCCTACGTGCATGGCGGCCGCTACACTCTTTCTTCATATCCTGCTCGACGCGTTGAGCAACTTCTTTTGCTGGCACAAGATATGCGTAAACCCTGACATGCAGAACTCAAAAATTTGTACAAGGGTTTCGCCGGAGTTTCAGGGTAGAGAGCTCCAGGTCTCGGACTTCTGTTGTCCGCTGAGCAACTACGATGTCCCTATCTCCCTGGCTCATGGTAAGTATCACCAGTCGTCGACACCAAAGGCCGCGGCCAAGCAGGGCAGCGCTTGGTGTTCAAGGTACTGGTACCTGCCAGCACTCATATTACGTGTGCCATTCAGCAAGAAGACAGCGATGTACACTCAGGATTGCACGGACGTTTTGAAGCAAACTATAAACGAGCGGGTGATAGTGTAGCCATACGGAACTAAGGTAGACACTTTGGGCTGGCACAAGGCCTGAATGTTTTGGGGCAGGGGCGGCATGCTGCAAGCAATCGGAGCGGATTGACATGAGGGTTGACCAGCCTATCTTGTACTTGTACGTGGGCGGGAAGCAGATCACGCCTGGCAAGCGCAGCGCAGGTTGGATCTAGAAGCTTAAGAAGTAGCTGACGGGAGATGCACAAGCACGCGAGTCAGCCGAGATTTGCTCGCATGGCATTCATCACATTACCAGTAATGGCTGGTCCTTTTGCAATAGGCTTCCCACCGCCCGGCTCCCTGCATCTCGCACTTTGAAGCCCTGTGTCTGGGCAAGCTTAGTTGATGTCTGCCACAGGGCACGCAACCCTGTTGCTCTAGTAACACGTTGTAATCTTGTAACATCATATGCTGTCCGGCGCTAACTCGCATGTACCATATGTGCCTTCCTCAAAACAGCTATGAAGTACTTTTCGTGTTTTCGTACATTACATGACTGGTGTACATGATGACATGCCTCGCCGGAGCCGAAGGCCCAGTCCTACTTCGGCAAACCTTCCCGCACGGTACCTAGCTGGATGAACGCTCCGGCCTTCGCGAAAGCCTCGCAGACTGGACACCTGCCGAGCAAGGAGCGATAACTAATGATAACTTTGAAGAGCAGCCGCATGCATAGCTCAGCTCTGATGTCTAGTAGTGCGCACTTGAGTCCCACCTAGGGAAAACAGCCGCAATCGAACATTGCAACGCTGATATCTTCACATACTCTTGTGACACTGTGAGTGGGAGGAGTGAAGATGCTGAGCTCATTCCAGCTCTATGCTGCAGGTTGTCCGATGCACCACCACAACTCGACGGACTTGTCTAGGACACAAATGGACTATATAGGTAATGATTGGCCACAGCCGGCCGCCCAATTGCCACCCAGCGTTAGCCATTAGCCGCTCTGGTATTGTTGTCGATGTGGCCTGCAGAGGATGGGACCTTCCGGAGGAAGCGGCACTAGGCGAGGTGCCAGCCACCGGAAGTTTTCCCGATGTAAAACTTTCCTGTCAGCGGCCCTATTTTTGTAGTTTATGCACTGCCGGCTGTGTTCGTGGCATTTGTCGAGGGGCATATATGCCACTCTTTTTGCGCAGCACTTTGAAGAGACATGGCCATGTCGTAGGTTAGACGGTCAGGGGCACGGGTGCTCAGTTTGAGGATGCGGAACATGCAAGGCTCTGGCACATTCTGTCTCAACTGCGGAGCATGGCACAACGCACCTACTTGCAGCAGACCCCAAAAGAAGACGGATTGCAGGCCCGGGCTAATGCCAACCGCCAACCAAGTCCAGCTTCCCTGAGCCCAAACCCCCAAAGCCCTAACACAGGGCAAAAGGAGTCAAGGGACTAGCAAAATTCAAGGCATCAAACATTCCTTCAAAGCCCAACACAGCACGAGAACTCAAAAGGAAAGAAGCCCGAATCACTGAGTGGGTAACGGATGTGGCCGAACAGGCCACCGGCAGCATCAGCAGCAAGAACAAAACATAGTGTGTTGGAAAGGGAACCCTGCTGTGAACTACGGCAAAACACGTACCGCCAACTACGGCGAAACCCCTGCAACAAAACCCGCCACTACGTACGGTGCTCGAAGGTATGCGAGGGCACATGAAGGCGCTGTCGCCCTTGCGGAAACATGGTCAACCTCCACCCCCCTGCAGAGAATTGCCAGGCCTGGGGGACTGATTATAGTACAGGCAAATTATTGCAAATTTGGAAACCCAAGCTAGGTTTTACGGTACCGCCGCGCTGCGCCTAATTGCTCCCTACTTCATTAAAGACCCCTGGCCTGTCCCAGCATGATCTGATCGCGGGCCAGCCATGCCTGCGACTCCAGTGGCATCGCGATTCTTCCTGTTTGTCTGCTCTAGATTGCTGAGCTCCTCGGGGCTTTGAGGTTCAGGATTCAGCTGGTTTGAGAGTATCGCTGCTGGTAGCAGTCCAGTCCATGTTCCAAGAGAGACCGAAAGCTGCAAGTCGAGACTGAACAAGAGCAGGGGACGAGAGACTTTAAGATGAGACGGTGGGAAGACAACGTTGGCAGAACTCCCTTCTTCTCAGCTTCACCAGGTACTGAAACTGCCTACCAAGGCTTGGACTGGCCCCGGGAAACTCTGCATGCACGGGAAGATTGAAGGGAAAGCCCAACTCACAATCTGCTCTGTCCGAAGGACGCATGACACGGACGTCATGCATCACGCTCCTGAGGCACTTCCTGGAAGCTTCGAGACCGCAAGCTGCAAGGCCAGGGCCTCCTGAGAGCCTTGCGGCCAGGAGGCTTCTTTGGGCAGGTCCTTCAGCCATCTTCCGCATTTGCAAGTACTCGAACTAGTTGCGAACAGTGCACTTCGTGAGAGGTTGGGCCAACCACGATGCAAGAGCAGCTCTGTGAATGGGAAACGCTGCTATGTCCAGTCGAGCGTTGAAGTCGCCGGTGATGATGCAAAGGTCATGCCTGGTTAGTCTGATGGATGCCTTGAGGAGTTCCAGTTGAACATTGTTCGGCCCTGCATCGAGTGTGACGCTCTGTGAGGCTAAAAGAAGCAAGCCCTAATGAAAGTATTACCGGGCGCCGGATGCACTTCAGAGCATGTGCTTTCATCCATGCTCCCCTGCTTTAGTCGCCCAGACTTGGGCCCAAGCTGAGCAATGCGATATGAGGAGGTGCGCCTCGAGTGGCATATTCTTTCAATGCAATGCCATGCTACTGCTACGCTCCAATGGGCTGAGAGGCTCGAAGCCGTTCTTGGCCGGGCGTAATGCCTCGAAGACAAAGGCATTGGCATTGCACGCGCTGCTAGTTCTAACGTCTGTCTAGCAGAAAATATATATTCCACCTCCAGACTAGATATGAGTAGCTCATCGTATTAGTAGCACCACTTGACAGCTTTCTGCTTTCCGATGCCGGCGGACATGAGGACATGCAAACTCAGGAAGGTGCCCCCTTGGAGGACGTGCTCTGGAACGCATCGCTCAGAACCTAAGCCGGGATCTTTGAGTCAACTCGGGGGGCTACATCAGGACGTCCAAAAAACTTTGAGGCAGGAGGCCCGACAAGTGACGAGAGTGACTAGTCGCTGAGAACAACTGGTCAGGGGGTCTCATGCGGGCACATGCAGTCTACCAATCTCGTCCTATTTATTTCCCAGCCGACCCTGCATATTCAACGAAGACATTCTGCAGGGTCTTCTTGACCATGCTCATACTCGAGCACAAGCACACAAGCTAATGTCCTGGTCAAACGGCAGTTGCCGACCGAAACTCACTGAGGGATTGCATGTCGGCCACTGCAACCCGGTGGTCTGGATCATGAGCTTTGGGTGAAGGGCTTCGGAAGGTTGGGGGGTTGTGTCTGCAGGCTTGAACACGGTCTCAGTAGCTTGCCTGGCCCAGATGTTGACTCCTCTCAGAAACGGCCTGCGCCCAAGAGTTCCTAAATACAAATCTCTCAGCCGCAGCTGTGTGTCGCGAGAATGCTTCGTCACAGCAAGTGCATGCTTCTTGGCTTCAGATGTTCCTTCTAGAAGCTCACTTGTAATCGGTAAAGACTCATCAGCTATCAAAGGCGAAATTGTCAAAAGGCGGCGCACGTGCTGTCCAGAAGCGAGGTGCACATTGACAGCGCAGACCTTGAGTCCAAAATGCTGCTTTCCAATTGCAAGCTGACAAATGATTTGGGATCCATGGTTCGTCGATCAATCGATGTGCGCTGGCTGGGTCTCAAGCTGACAGGGAGCCGAGCAGGAACCTTCACAGTCCAGTTGTGGGACACGGAGACTCCCTCCACGGCCAATAATGAGAGAGAGTCTCTGCCGCATCACTCCGACTGTTCAGGGACCTAACTATACTCCTATATATTCCCTGCGACACGAGAATGCCCAAGGACTTCGAGACCCTTGTGGCACAAGAATCACCGAAAACAGACAGCATACCACTTCAATTCCTGACAACTCTTCTGGTGTCAGGGCCCTTATAGAGTGGGGCAAGCGCCCAGAAACCGTGGCATCAGGAGTATGGAGGCTGGGCGGGGCCGCGGCAGGCCTGGCACAAACGCCTCCTTTGTTGCCGCCAATGCCATCCAAGCCTGCCCACCATGCCGCCAAAAGGGGGGGAACTTGGAAGCTCTTTTGACTTAATAAGTAGGGTTAGTCAGGTGGGTTATGGGGACTATAAGACTAAGTAGACTTACTATGTCAAAAGAGCTTCCAAGCAGTATCCAAGCCTGTCTTCACCCGGTCGATGCGCAGCTGTCTCACGCATGGCCTCAGACTTTGGCAAAGAGCACGTCTGAGATCGTCTGAGAAGGGGTCAGGAGATTCCCTAGATGTTGCGTCGTTGCTTTTTCTCTCGCCCGCTTCCTATCGGTCTCATCTCCATGAGAATCATTGAGAACCCATAGATCAGAACTGGAATTCCTGGAATTCCTTCGCGTGTGTCCTAGATTTCCCTCACCGCGCTCCCAATCCTTGAATTGAAGGACTCCTTCATCCCAAGCAGCCCATTGTCCACAGGCACTCAAGACGCTCTCCATCGCTCTCGAATGGAGCACCAGAACCCTACATCGAAAAGATGGAAGAGGCTGAGGGCCAGGCTGCAGCCATGCCTGAATGTAAATGAGCAGGGCCTGACATCATGCGTCAAGGACGTGCAGCTTTAGCTGGCATGGCGCAAGCGCTTGCAGGGGTAATGAACACTCAACGTGGCGTGGGCCGACATCTGGTCAACCCCGGCCCAAGCCTCTAGCTCCTCTCGCAATGGACTCCGAGAGCCCAAAAACCCTGAGAGTATTTTATGATGGCATGTACTTCTTTTTGACTGGGCCAGCTGCTAGGCCGACCATGCCGAAGCTGCAGATCTTGATGTAAGTCCCGGGGCTGCCTCCAAAGCCAAGGGCTTTAATCGGGTGTGGTAGAGCGACCCAACGAGAAGGTTGCGCTGCGCCCCTGGTCCAAGCTTCCAGAGGAGAGGGCTTCTGAAGGCAAGTGATGCCAGCTGCAGGTGGCTACATTGCACATGTCGTGTTGGACTCTGTGCATTGCTGTGCCCATTCGCGCCTCGTGGTTGCAAAGCCTGCCTGCAGCCCAAGACCAAGTATGGAGTACATTGGCCGATGTGAAGGGAACATGACAATGAACAAGCCATAGCTTTTTCAGAATCAAGCTGCAGCCTTATTTAACATCAACCTACGTAAGGCTTCAGCCTGCCGTCATGCATACCCATGCTGTCTAATGATTTGCTCTGAGCGAAGCTCACCGGAACTGCGGGTTGCGCAGGCTGGCACTGCAAAAGCAGCGTGATTCTCGCAGGAGGTCGGAAAGGGCAGGTTCGGGGGCAGAAGCATAGGACGAGGAATCAAGCGACCTGCAAATGTCAAGTAAAGCCAAGAGAAATGTTGGAAGACGGAGGCGGAGGAGAAGAACATGGATCCAGTCTCCCACGTCAACTGTCCCGAAACTCTCCGCACTCTCTCCTAGCGTCTCTTCCAGCCTCCCCCAAAAGTTTCAACCCTCAACACATGAGAAGCCGCGAGAAACCTCAATCCCAAGGTCTCCACTAGTGCTAAGCGGGCGACTCCACGCGCGACTCAAGAGCAGCCTGACCTGCTGGAAAGGGCAAAGCGCTACGGACTCCCAAGTCGCTATGACTCCCGCAGGACTGTTCTGATGCTCGCCTGCCATGAACGGGAGCTGCCTCAAAAGCTACTTGGACTTCGGGTCTGAGGTTTTGACGCTGCTCATCGCCGGAGGTGTTCAACACCTCGGAACAGGCTCTCTGTGAGAATGGTCAATGGAACGCAACTGAGAAATATAAATTCGCCAGCAATCAAGATGATATGATAACAACTTTTTCACCAGTCGTCAGCGAATTTTGAAAGACACCTTCAGGCTTTATGCAAATATTCTCACATTTTAGACATGTCATGTACCCACCTTTTAGATATGTCATGTACCCGTTGCGGTTGGGACAATACGTCACCTGATGATTCGTCTGCAATCGATGTTATGGGGAAGCAGCACAAGAACTTCCATGCTAGAGATCGACTCCCGCAGCCGAACGGACATTTCGATGGCTAGATCACCCTTACCCTTTTGACAGGCTTCAGTCACCACACCGCCCAGACAAAGCTGCGTACTCTACGACCAACACCATCACCCGCAGCCACGAGCACAAGCGCAGCAAGGTCTGCGAACAAGTGCAATGGCAAAACAGGTCCTTGACGCTCTGATTTTGCCTATGTGGAAGGAATTGTGCCGGTCGCTCGAGCAAGGATAGTTCCGGCAACTTTCCCAGCTACCGAGCAGACTGTAAGCTCCAAGCCATGGTTTTGGGGCCGAGGTCCACGAGTTCCTTCGGCAAAGGAAAAGCTGGGTGGTAGCATGTTTCAGAAATGAGCTTAGCATTCCGAGCTCATGCTTATCCTTGGTGCCAAGCAGTTCATGCTGCCACATGAGGTGCCTAGTTGGCGCGTGTTCGCGAAGGCCTACAAGATCCGGCGCGAGGCATCGTCTTCTCCGAGGCTGCTCAACAATTTGCTGGCGAGCCTCACCTCAAGGTACCTCTCCGAATTCGTTATCACCTCTCGCATGCACCAGCCGGCATCCTGGACGCCAACAACAATCACGTCTGCCGCATCCTCGTCGGGCCTGCGAGTTTAAAGGGCCGGGAGGGTTATCTTGAGCTCCTAAGACGTTGTTCGATGGAGTGCTGTGTACTCTGATCCCAAAACATCTGCAAGAAACCGGAAGCATGCCGCGCAAAACTGCTGGCCTCAACCACCGCTCGATGTGGTCCGAGGGGTCAATCGGATTGCCATGCAGGTTCCAGGTGCACCTCGGGGTAATTTTCAGGGTTTAGGGTTTATAGGGTTTAGGGTTTAGGGTTTAGGGGGTCGCTGCCATGATGGACCCGACTTCGAGCGCACAGAAAGTCATGAGTTGCTGCATCAGGATGTTTCTCTCGTGTTGCCAGCGCTGGGCTTGGCTGAGAGACTTCTTTGGCAAGATGTCGCGGTCTCTTGCAGCAGCAATTCATGCAGCGATAGCTGACCATGCTGCCGTTGCCGGCGGGTCACAAAGGACAAAGGACCAGCAGGGGGCTCAATTTCCGAGAAGGGATGATGCCGACAGGGCCAGCGGCAGTGAAACATTATAGGTTTATGAGCGCATCCTTTTGGTCCAAATCAAGGAGGCCTTCATAAACCGCTGATGAGAAGAAGCGCCCTCTTCTGGCAGCTGAAGTTGCTTTTGGAGCTTCTTTCCCTGCACACCCGCTCCTCACTTCCGTGGCTCCGCTAGATCTTCTGCTCCACCAGGCGCTGCATAATGGCTTTGGACAGCCAGCTCGATATGTAGATGGCCGCGATGATGTAGAGCACGACGCCAAGCAGGATGACGGAAGTGATCGCCTTGTGGCGTTTGGCCTGCGAAATTGAGCAAATGAAAGCCACTAATCCAGCCCCGCCCGTATGCCTCTCTAGAGACTCATTCCGACGAAAGCCGGACCCACTGGGAAGCCCCTTTGACTTTGTTAGTGTACTTTGTATCCCCTAAATACAAACCTTTCATCTCCCCCTCGAACCCAACTTCTTGACCATACTCGCTAAGTCCAAAGGGCTTCCAAGCACCGCCTGCAGTTTTGCAAGCTTCGTCCACACCACCATGCGCACCCGTAAAATACATGTAAAACCTGAAGTTGCTGAAGCTTCTCAAAGTGGCCAGCTGGACACCCTCTTTCAATGTCTCCGGCATCTTAAAGTCATCCTCCGGGCCGTTGTCCTTGTCCTGGCTACGCTTATTATGCAGCTGGTCCGAAACAGGGGCGTGCCAAGCCCTAAACCCTAAACCCTAAACCCTTGTATCAACCCGAAACCCACAAAATCTCGCTGTCCTGGGGGACCTGCTTGGTGAGCTGCTTCATGGCCTCGGTCTCATAAGTACAGGACCTACTCATTCTCAGGGAATCCTACTGTTAAGGGATCTATATTAATAACTAGAAGGGAATCCTGGATCAAGGGATCTATATTACTAAGATTGTACCTACTATTAAGGGATCTATACTACTGACGATAACGGAATCCTACTATGTGGGGTCTATATGAAGAGGAAATTCAGTTCAGCAACTGCACAGGCGAGCCGAGAAGCGTCCATCTGCTGCTCCAGGTGCGCCTTGTCTTATGGTTCGTTGGCGCTGGGAATCGCTAGGCCCGAGGGTGTCCATTGCGCTTGCGCATGCTGAGGTCCTAATGCTTGTGCACGGCCGCGTGAGACAATGGATTTTGACTAGGCCCGCTTGTCTAGGAGCCCTCATTGACCACCCCTCCAACACCGAAACGCAATGGTTCAATCCGGTGAGGCCTTGGTCTCTGGGTTGTCATCCAGGTGGTCCTCCCAGAGCCTCACTAACTCTCGAAATTTATGAGGGGGTGCCAATTGAAGCGCACGTGGCCTTTGAGGACTTCTGCAAGTTGCAGGCGGCGCTCAGGACTCTGTTGGGGTTCTGGTAATGGACTGTTCGCGAACTATCGTCTGTCGACTTGGTGAGATGGAGCTGACCCCCGATCTTGGGGCTCGATCAGTGGATGCTCATTGTACAGTGTGCCGGCTTAGGTTGCCAGATTTGTGGAAGATACTCCCCTAAACTCTATACCCTAATCTCCAATATACCCCCAATGGACCACTCCACAGCAAGCAACGCACGAAGAAAACATCCCATTGTTTGGCCGAATGGCATCTCGAAGTTGTCCCCGAAGCCACTTTCCTCCAACGCAGCCCTGCCGCTGAGGTACACGTTGAGGGCTTCCTCCTTCCAGGATTCTGAGATTAGTGTGGGGCCAAACTGCAGCTGCTATCGATGCGCTCTCGTCCCTTTCATGTCAGAAGTGGGGCTGATGCCCTGTGAGCAGATGAAGAGTTAACATGTAATTCGGAGTCATTCAATTAAGCTACATTGTGTAAGCCTTGATTTCCAGGACGGAGAGTGCGGGGTAGCGGCATCCGTATGGGAGTCCCTAAATGGTTTGTTGGGAGGTGCCCTGGGGAAGTTCGATACAGGAGGACGCTCTCTTGGGCGAAGTCTGTACTGCGTGCCTAGTCCCGACTTCAGACAAGAGTTCCATGGAGGTTTGCAGGAGGTCGAATCAAGGGCTTCAAGGGGCCCTGCAGAAAGTCCTGTAGGGGCCTGTGCAGGCTCACGCCGGCCAATGCCCAAGACAAACAACATGAACTTAAACAAAGCAAGCCGACTCTGCTTAGCTTAGTAGCACAGTTGCCATGAAGACGCCTGTAACTTTCGGATACCGCCAGCACCTTCTGGGTTGGAGGTTTAGCAGGGTTGGAGGCGGAGGTCTTGCAACCCTGCAGACTTGATGGCCGAGGTGCATGAACATGCCGTTTGTGGCGAGTGCTCTGGGGATTGGGGGTGATGGCAAGTGGTGGCTTCGGCTCACGTGCTGTCGCAAACCTGGGCCTCTTGGTCCTGTGCGGTACAATGTGTATGGTGTGTCTTGTGTATGGGCTGTGGCGCCCTGGAATGCCATTGGCTGTATTGTCAAGCTTTTACTGTGTAAAATAAAATGTCATGCATGACCCTGCTTACTCTTTCAAAAGCTAACAATATAGAACATTAAGAAAAACAGTCAAAAATGCACTGACTGTGCACAGTCTTTGCCTTCAGACAACGCGTTGAAAGCTGTTTTTGTTGGTATGTGTGTGTGTGTGTGGCCCGTCGGGGCGACGAGGAGACCAAAGGCAAACGTCGTTTCGCCCACTGCAAACAGCTAAACCTGTGCGCAGGGCGACAGGGCGTCTACTTGGCATGTTTGACTCCGCTGTTCAAGAAATTCGCATCTCGTACCTCGAAATGTCTTATTGCAGCACGGCCCCTTATTCCAAACTATGTTTTCACCTCCAAAATTACTTCGTACCTCGGCTTCAGAATTCTGGCCACAGCTCGGGCCAGAGGTTCCTACTCTAATTGGCTCTCTATCACTTCCAATGAATAAGCTGCTAATTGTTAGGAGAACCTCGAAACGGAAGCCGGTCCCACGAATTTGCTGCTGATTCATTTGTCGTGGGTTTGGGGGGGGGGAAGGGGTCGTTGTTTTTGTTGGGGGGTGGGGTGGGGGGGGTAGGGGAGTGGGTAGGAGGGGGGGGGCGGTTTGTTCGAATTTGCTGCAAATTTTGGTTGGGGGGGTGTTTCGTTGTTCTTGGGGTAGAGGGGGGGTAGGCCCTCACCCCAAAAAACACGAATTCGCAGCGAATTCGCTCAACACCCTCCAAGAAATCGCGCTGGGGAACTTTCATGTAGAAGGGCGGCGCCTTACCCGCTGTGCCAGCGAAATTGCTGCTTCGCGAAACGCCCGTCACCTCCTCCTCCTTTGCTCAGGGGTTCAATTAAGGGTCCCTGCCGATTTTGTTGGCAGAGCGGGTAAGACGCCGCCCTTCTACATAAAAGTTCCCCAGCTCGACTCCCGCGAATTTGCTGCACATTTGTTTTTTTTGAGGAATTCTCCTTTCCCTGCCCCCGAACCCCCCCTTCCCGCCCGTTCCCCCTTACCCCCCCCGCCTCCCCCCACCCCTAGTTCACACCACGTACCTCGCCAATTTATCGCTGTTTCGCGAACCTACCTCGCTGAGCTCGCTGCTATAATTTGCCCAGCAGGCAAGTCCTGCTTTCATCTCTATCGTAATCCATAAGCAGGTCGCTGGCTAGCTTGAATTGCGCTGGGCTCCTTCGTGGAACACATTGTCAGGGCCACCTTCAAGCGATCGCAGGCTTCGGCCCCCTGCCCAAGAGCAGCGTGCACGCGGAGCAGACCCACGTTGTTCCTTGGCTGTCACTCTTTTAAAGGAAGCCGCTGGTGATATGCATTTTTTCAGACGGTGTCAAGGCTTTGGGGTGGTCTCTTTGATCCGCAGGGCTTTAATGTCGTTCCATCAGTCTCGCGGTCACAGCGAGATCAAGGATCATGGGGCCATATTGGACACAACTGATTGCGTGATGCAGCCAAACGTGGTGCGGCTGAGTCTCAGCCGCCGCAGTCGCTTGTTCCCCTGGTCTTTGTAGCACTCTTGAGCACGGAGGAGGGCGCGCAGGCTGCCCTCAAAGTCCTAAGGCAGGGGTTTGGCGACACTCGCTTGTCAGCTCTATTCTATTCAATTCCGCTTCGAATTCAGAGGTTATGAGCTTGGTACCGCGCTTCTACACTCCGAGTGTACTGGCGCTTATCGGGCATGTGTCAGCACCCGCTTCCAGAATCTCCGGACAAAGGTCCTGGTGAAGGAAGAGCGACCGTGCATGTAGCTGATGTGCATCGCCCTGACGCTGCCTTGTTATGGAACACGCGCTGACGAGTTTTTTGCTGCCAAAAACTCGCGGCTGTGAGGGGTACCCACGGACAGCCTACATGGTGCCTTCTGTTCCCTTTGGACTCTGCACAAAATTGAAAATTCGTGCTTACAGTTTCAAGGCCCAAAATGTCGCAGCCCGCACCTGCTGAGGAAGGGAAGGGAGAACTTCATGACCAGCTCGCAGGTCTCCAGTACCCGCTTGTCCCGCGGGCTAAGCACTCCATATGCTTCCTGAGCCCAGATGGTTTGACCGCGTATGCAGGATGAAGGCTCTTCTACTTCTACCTAGGAAATTCACCCCATCCTTCAGCAAGGCTCTGCCAGGTCCAACAGCTTGTTGGGCTCTGTCACCTTGGACGCGGCCTTGTTCCAAGGTTTCACCAGGGCTCGACGCTCGCACTTGCGTCACAGGGTAAAGGGCATTCCTTGCTGAAACCCGGAGTCCACCCAGATGGTGGCTCCAAGCAGTATGCTTGCACCCCAGGCCGGAGTGCGATTTTCATCCCAAATGCGAGCAGAACTAGAGAAAAAAAACACATGATCCGCACAGAGTGCGCGAAGGCATGTCGTGCGGTTCCGGCGCTCTAGCCCCCTCTTACTCTGACGTTCCCTATGGCTCTGGACCCGGGCTTGCCTTCTCCGCTGTCGCGATTCTGGCCTCCAGCTGCCTCAGAACCCCCGTGACTGGGTTGGGGCCCTGTGAAAGTATCGGCGAGGCGAGAAAAGAAAGGCTGTCAAAAACCCGTGACCGTGGCTGATGATGCCTTCGACCAACAGAATCCGAGAGGCTGTTTGGTGACATCTTCCTCACGTGACTCGGAGTTCTCTGCCAGCCTTAGAAGACGTCACACCCACTGCAGCGATTCAGAACGATGCTGCGCGAGCTCAAAGCAGACGGGGCAGAACTCAAGCTGCCAAGGCTCCAGTCATCTTTCAGCGCTTTTATGAAGGGGCTGTCTGGTTCTGGTGGGTCTTCGAATAGGTCGTACAGCCAGTTCAGAATGCCAGACATTGCCACAGCTGCAAAGGTCAAAGGTGTAGTGAGTGGGCAACGCTACGTGCGGGCTGTTTCTAGGGTTGCTGTTTACAGTTTAATGTGCTTATGGGACAGGGCCTGTAATTATAGTGACGCAAGGCTGTTCATGTTCCAGCGCGGCTCGAGCCACGACCCACGAACAAAGTTGCAAACAGCAATCCTTGGAATTGTTTGTAGTTGCATCAAGATTCGAAGTTCTCTTTACAAGGGATACAAAGGATGCACAGCATACTGAGCTCCTCACACTCGGATCTGCACAGGAGGAAGCGACCCCGCGTGAGGCCTTGAAGGCTTCAGCCTATCCTAAAGCTGATCGAGGGAGGAGCTTCTTCTGCCCAGACATCACCTGCTAGCAGCGACGTCGACGTAGCAAGAAGGTACGAGTACAGGTCCATAGTCCATACAGGATCAAAGAGATGCATTGTTGGCATGAAGCAATCCGCAGAATCTCAGACGTTTCGGCCCGAAGCTGCCAGGCAACAATCTTCTGAGAGCCATCTGCTGTTCATAAAGCTGTGCTGGCAAGGGCTGCTCCGAGTTTAAAAAAAAAAACCTAAGTCTCTCCCCGATGTTTGGCCGTCTGCGGACGCGTGGGGCTTGGGCTCATCAGACTGGAACGGCGATCTTGCTGCACCAGAGGCTACACCTGACAATGGGACGGAAAGGATGCAACAGTAACAACTGAACGCAAGCACGACTGAAGGAGCATCCGCGGACCGGTCTAAGCGAGACTACTGTGCTAAAGAGCACACCACCAGCTGCACGGTCATTTTCTGAACATTTACCTACAGGTCCAGTTAGCCTGACACAGGATGGGAAGCACCGAATTAAAGGGCTAGGAGCTCATCTGTCCGGGGCCCAATTCCTACACATACTCATCTTCAAAAGTCGCCTTCAAAGGACGGGCTATTCACGTCCAGCGCCTAATTCCAGCAAAACAGCTTGGTGAGACCCTTTGCGGTTTCCTTACTGCTGCAGAGGGTACAAAACACGCGCACGCTTGACAAGTGCAGGCACCTGACCTAGAGAGTCTTCTCAAGCGGCCGTTCAATAGCTTAAAGGCTTCGAGCAGACACGAAATCGCCTGAATGCGCCTGCTGTCGCATCTGCGTGTTGAACTTTAAATGCAAGCCGGCAACCAGAATCCAGAACGTAAGGTCAATGTCGGTCCGAGGATCGCTTCTTTGCCACATCCCATGCTGTCCTTCCGGAGGAGTTCCTTTTCGGCAGCGTGAGGCGGCCATTTCAACATTTGAGAAGGAACCAGAGCGGGTGATGTGGGCTCCGTTTGCCCAATGGCTTCGTTCCTACTTCCATGATATATCATGATTTCTGCTTGTTGCATCAGACGCCCTGCTATCATCAGACCACGCGATGTCCATGGATTGCTGAGTGTCTTCTGATCTGTGGCCACGCCAGCAGCAAGCAGCAATGTGACCACCTGAGGTGCCGCGGTTGCCATCCCTATTCATCACTTCTTGGGCATTTGCACACTTATCTTGAACGGTATGGCGGGTATGGGCCAATATCTGACCATGATGACCTGCGTTCGCTGCTTCGGCTCCAGCCTTGGCATTGCCCTTCTCGGCGGCCACGTGCAAAGGGTAAGTCGTCAAGCAGAGCCTCCTTCTACCTGGCAAGGGCTCCGAAAGTTCGGTGGTCCCTTCAGTGTCCAGATGCAGGGCACGATGGATGTCGTGGATTTGCCAAAGCGGGGTTCGGAGGCACGCTTTCTCTCTCTGCAATGTTACAGCTTACGACCACCCGGCCTGCGTGCGCATCTTGAAACCCGTTCTCGGCTAGGAACTTGTTCAGGACATGTTTCGGATCTTCCTCCAGCTCGTCCTGTGGTGGCTGAAAAAAGGGATGCCATGATGATTTAGCAAGCCGGCTTTCTTCTACATCCTACATCACCAGGAATCAAGCTTTGTCGCTCTTCACGATGCAACTTTAACGGAGGACCTTGGAGTAACAGATGACGGTTTTAGCAGCCGGGGAATTAGCTGGCTGGAATAAACCAGCAGAGGACCTGCACTGAATCGGCCGAGAAGAAGGACCGGAAAACCTAGAAGCCGCTTAGAAGTTTTCTTCCAGCGCGGGATTCTACACCCAGCACCTCACATCATGCAGGTGTTTGGGACAGGATCTGCACCACGTGATCCCGTTACCCGATCCCCTTTGCCAGAGTGAGCTGGCCAAGGCTAGAAGATGCCTTCTTCGCACTGCAGGATCCCCAGGGTCGCAGATCCCAGCAACAGCCGGAAGGCTTGCTTTGAGCCTGGATAGCAGGACTGAGTCAGCATCCTAAACCTTGGTGAAGTGCTTCCTCTGCGATGTGCACGGGTGCAGTCTTGCAAATGGAGCCGTTGGCCAGGGCTGGGCTAAGGGCACACACAGGTCTTGAGACCACATCAGCTAAGCTGGCACAGGCTTTGAGCGAAGAATCTGGGCTGGTCGACTCCTGGCACTTCCTGGCTCATCTAAGTGTTTTTGTTTCACATGTCGGACAAGCCAGGTGAGTAATCGTGTCATCATAGCTTGGACTCCACCGGCTGTCAGCTGCCAGCAAAACCCTAAACCCTAAACCCTATGCTGTAGGCCTTGTTGATGCAGGTCGGAACGCCAAGACCCACAAACAGGCGAAAGGCTGAAGTTCCTGAAGCTAGACACCGCCATTGACACTGGCCGGTACCATATAAAGGAGACGCTGTGATGACTTTTTACACTGACAACTACAATACAAGTATAAGTATAGGCCTGCTTGGGCGGTGAATCCCGAGGATGGTCGACCCGATAACTCCAAAATCCCCTTGCTCCCACTTGCACGTCCTCTGGCGAGCTGCCAATGGAGCTTGAGGTGGGGAGCTCCGTGCTCTCGTCCTCATGACATCCCTTCATACATCTTTGCAGTTGAAATACTGCAACCGTTGTATGAAGAGGGTCCTGCTTGTCAACGCCCTCCTGTAATTCAATCTCTTCCTCCTCTGGGAGGGCCGGAGCATGAGACCTGCGACGAGTGTTGCTGGAATCCGATTGTAGCTGCGTAGTAGTGTTGTAGTGCTAAAGACGACCAGGTCGAAGGCTTCGTCTGCACACGGCTCAACTGAAGTGTGATGACGGCGTCGGCATGGCGTTCTCAACGTATGAGAAGCCTGTCTTGCGAAAATGACTACGCAATCGGGGATGGACCAAGCGATGGAGAGATGGAGGCTCCGAAGTTGCCCGGAATGCTGCCTAACAGGCTCACGATTGCAAGTGCCCCCACGTCTGCCTGTCACACAAGCGGCCGCCCTCCATGTCCTCACAGGAACTCATCTCTCAGCATTCTCAGAATGGAACAACTCATTAGGTGTCCAACCTTCTCCACATGTCTCCACGATATTCAGACCCCGCCTGCTTGATGAGCTGTAGAGCGTACAGCCGCTCATCCTGCCTGTGAACAGAGATACCGCCCTTGGTATCCCCCCCTTAAAGCCTTAACTCCCGAAACCCTAAACCCTAACCCCAACCCCCCCCCCCCCCACACCACCAGTTTGGGTGGGGAGGGAACCCTTATCTATCCCTAAACCTTGAACCCTAAGGCCCTAAACCTTAAACGCTAACCCCAACCCCACCACCGGGGAGGGGGGCCGGCCGCACCCGGATCATACATAATGTATATATATATATATATGTATGTATGCATGCATGCATGTATGTGATTCGGGTCAAGACCTGAGTAAGAGTTCCGCCTCTCAAAGTGGTGCCTGTTCTGCGGCGATTGTGTGCATGAACTCTGTGCCTTCCTATACGTGCCATCACGACGCTTTTTGAAACAGTCTGTCTTAGCAATATCAAACAAAACTTCTCGTATACTCTACTATATGCTATGGCTTCACATCAGTTTCACCGTCTCCGAGATCTGTAACAGGCGGGGCCCTCCGAGCATGAGCTGCAACGCCATCCCATCCCAACCCACTGAGCAGACTTTGCCTGAGGCCGATCTCTACTGGCGTGCTGAGCTCTACTGGCGTCTCCGCGGCTGGAATAGCCTGCGAATGGCAAAGGCTCAAGTTGGCACAGGGTTCTTGGTTTCTGAATTGCGGATCGCCAGGACAACTCGCCGGATAAGTTTTCTGCACTTAATTTCACCAGAACCTTTCAATGTTTCCTTTAAATTCTAAAAGGGCGCCATTCATGCTTAGCAGTCGTAGGCTCCACAACACGCTCTGGTTCCATGATGTAGGCGATCTCTGCCCGTCTACTATTGGGGCCTGAATAATCCGAATGCTGTTCTTAATTTAGGATTATTTTTGTATGATTATATATCGTCAAAAGGGAATACAAGTCATTACTCCAACCCCATGTTATCCACATTCTTTCCTTTCTTGCCTCGCAGGGTCCTATGCTCGGGGTCAAACCAGCTCAACGGTAAGCCCGAACACCTACAGCAAACCCTACGGGTATGTACTATACCCTAAACTACGCCCTAAACCCTAAAACCCACCCATAAAGCCTACAGTAGGTACTCATGGGTGTCCCGTACTCTGGCCTGCTCGTATTCCACTTGCTGCCGCTCACGCTCTTCGATCTTTGCTCGCAGCTGCCTGCCCGCAAAGCCGGCAGGTAAAGACTGAGGCAGGTTTATAGGGTTTGGAGTTAGGTTAAGATGAAGAACGAAAGTCATCACCTTGCAGCACGAGTCGTGCTTCAGCAAGGTGACTTAAACTGGCTCGATGAAAAGCAGGAAATTATCTGTGACTCTGTCGACATGCGTGCAGATACGCGCGGGCCCCCGAAACACATAACAGCTCCGTATCCAAGAAAAGTTCACACATGCCAGCTCCATATCCAAGAAAAAGTTCAACCAAGTAACCAGTAATCCGGTCCGATTTTGCATGTTTGTTTTTGATTGAAGGAGGTCAGCCTGTCCGCGGAGCACCATCTTTTCGACTAGACTTATTGTGGGCCAAGTCAGCATCTTCAAGCAACACTTCTGCGCAAGGCCTTTCCCACTCAGCCTTTGCCAGCATCCCTCGATCCATCCTTGAAGACGCAAAGCGATTGGCGGGTGCAGTCCGCCTATCTTACTTTTGGAGGTGTGACGTTGCATTGTGGCTTTGTGGCTCGGTTGCCATACACTGACAAAACACCTCCAAGCCACGGTATGGCAGTCGTGCATGCCACGGCACTTCATTTCACCGTTCTTGGCAGCGAGGGCCGCCCGGATTGCGCGCGAGGAGGGCAACAACTTTGCATCCTTGACAACCCGTTCGCATCGAAAGTGCCCAACTTCAGGGTCCGGGTTTACGTCTTAGGCTTTAGGTTTCGGGTCCAAGCGAACAATTGAGGAAGTTACCTTTCAGCTGTGAGACTACAATCCCATGATCGGTCACAGACAGGATACTCGGACTCCAGTTACGGCCTCGCTGTCCACCCGAGTAAGGTCCACCTGGGCAACAGATCCAGTCATCATCTCCGACACATTTTATGCACATATTGATTCTTGTTTTTTAAATATCTGATCTCGATGTACTACACTGGTGGAATTCGCTTCTCTCTCTCTCTCTGTCTGTCTCTCTCTCTCTCTCTCTCTCTCTCTGGACTACATATATATATATATACAGATATGAATGTACATATATATATATTTTTATACGTTCTGTGCAGATGCCTCGGAAGCTGTCCCTCCTACAACTGCCGTCTACAGTGCCCGCCTTCACGGTGTCCCAGGCGGGCAGGCACAATCCCAAATGGCTGCCACAGGACTGAAGAGGCGGATTGGAAACACCTCCAGAAGATCGTGCGCAATGAGATCCCCAGGCCCGTCCGACGTGACGTGTTGCACCATGCCCACTGAACCGCAAGCCGCACACATCACACTCTTCCCGCATCCCAAACCACCTCTTGACATAAAACGCCAGAAACTGCCTTGGCCCATCTTCTGTTTGCACTCGTCGCGTTGCTTGGCGGGCCAGCTGCGCAAGTGGACGGCTTCTTCTTTCAAACTCTACGATGTGATCTGCTAATTCTGCATTGTGTCAGGCGCTGTGGCTGTGAGGCGGGCTTCACTTCTGTGTTCTTCCGCCCTGTGCTTGATATGGCCAGTAAATCCACCTTGAGCCACGGCTCCGCCGGCGTGAGTGCGTGCCCCACAGTGTGGGTTGCTCTTCATGTACCTTCCAGACATGTTGGGACATTGTTCACCATTGCCCCTATTTATGCTCCCATGCATTGGCTCATGAGAGCGGAAACAGGAAGCATACGCGGACTTCTGCGTAGAAGGGTGCAAACATAGGCGAAGTCCCAAGCAACCACTGAGCTTTGACAAAGCACCGAGAAGCGAAAACATGACAGCTTCGTGCGGATCCATGGTTGGTTTCAATCGGGCTTGCTTGTCAAGCTTCCCCGCGCCTGAGCTCGCACCGAATGGCGGCCACACCTTGGCAGAACCAATTGTGCTTGTCCTCTAGAACTGCTCTGCGATCCGCGTTTCCTGAGCCTCTGGTCCGAGAGTTCAAGAGCTTTTCTCAGCGCTGCACCTGGCTGTCCACCACTGCTTTCACCTCGCTCAGCTACTCCATGGAATCTATCATACACGATGCAGGCAGTCTACAGTCTACAGTAGAAATAAGTCCATAACCTCTTCATACCTCTTCCGCACAATCCACGTGCCGACCCCGAAAGGCACAGCAAAGCTGCAGCTCACATTCTTGTTCCAGCCTGGCCGGCTTGCACACGCGCGGCACCGGCAGCTTTCTTGAAAGCGGCCCCTGCGGTCCTTGGAACGAGTTAATAGGATTAGGGGGACCCTTGGGGACATAGACCCTCTCAATACGGTCAATGTTTAAGAGAGGGTTCGGAAGGGTTCCCTTTTAAGGGTCCCCCCTTATCCTGCCTAGGATGAGTGTTGGATGGCCCGAGATCTTTGGCGGGGGGTGCTGCAATTCGTCATGCTCAAGTCGCAGTGTCCCGGCTTGAACCCGAATCTTGATCAAGGGGCACACTTAGACGATGTTGCGGGAAATGGTCCTGCACATCACCAATGCCTATTGGAGAGGGTCGCACGCGGCGCGCTTCGCAGAAAGAACACACACACACATTGAAACAGACCCACGCACTCACGCACTAGTCTCGAGTCTCGGGTGATGCCGAAGCCTTCTGTGAAAACCCGAAGGTTTCAGTTTGCAGGCTCTCCATCACCATCCGAGTTTTGGGAAGCTGCTGTTGGGAGGCCTTTGAGGCCCCGACTCGCCCGCCGCGCTGGCCCAAGCAACGGCGCTCGAAAAGTTGTCGCCGGATGGTCTACGCAAGGTCTCTTCGACTTGGATACGATGGATAGAACATGATAGTAATAGAACTGAAAGAACCGACGTCCTGCCGGCAGTTGTGAAGTCATGTTGGATCGTGCCGAAAGCGCGCCTTGGCAGCTGCGACGCCATGCCATGCGTGTCACACAGCTCAAGTTGTCTTGTGGGACATGGCAAAGTCAATCGTAGGTCGTCGAAATTGTCTGCTTGCTCTACTTATCTCAACTTGTGCAAGCTCGAAGTGCTACTTGTAAAAGCTGCACAGACCAGTGGTATGTCGCAGCACGCATGATCGAAAGCTTGTCTGCCGTGAGCTGCTGGACTCAACCAGCTTATGGTAGGCACGGCGGAGGGCTGAGTAGAGGAGCACACCACAAGGCAGCTGCGGCACTGGCCCTGCCCTCGACTCTCGATACTACTTACGGGTTCCCATACTTTTCGGCTTCATCCTGCTTTGCAGGAGAATCGTCGGGCCGCTGATCCTCCATGACCTCAGGCACAACCCGAGATGCACGGAAGGTTAAAGGCAAAAAAAACGGCATCTTCCTCCCGCCTTAGCATTCCACCGCTCCTCGACCGAATGCCTTGTACAAGCTTCCCTGTACAGGACTACTAAACAAAAGGAAGAAAACACATGTTCCCCCTTTTGTTCGACATGGAAGCTTGGGGGGGTTGGAGTCGGTGGAGTTTCTTACGTGGACCCATTTCATCGCGTCACGTTAGGGGGGTTCGTTCAGCGACCTGCGTGGCCTAGAATCGGCGGCACCAAAGAAGAAATAGGGTTTACGGTTTAAGGTGTACGTTTAGCATTTAGGGTGGAAAGGTTTCCTGCCCTGATCCCCTCAGAGCAGAGTTGTCGTCCGACCGGAATCTTGTCGTGGTAATGTCAGCAATCAGGGGCTCAAAGCTCCCTCCGTTTTTGAGGGGAGTGCAGACTTTGAACCTTAACAGGGACCCTGTTCAAAAGCAACCGGCCGCTTTAAGCTTAAAGCCATCGACTCAAACGACCTCGCGCAAGAGGGCGCGGCAGGGGCTCTCTGGGGCACGCCCAGGTCCCGGAAGACCTCCGCGGTGTAGTGCGCACCTGCGCAGACAGGTGGGCTTCAAAACGGCGTTACGGCTTTAACCATCCCTGTTAGAACTGAGACGCCTTAGAAGCCCTGCAGATGTATCTAATGTGCGTAGAAGACTTTCATCCTAGATACCTATCGGCCGCACACTGATTGAACTGTAAGTCTCAGACCCCCCCACAGATTCTACTACCCTTGCAGTAGGTCGGAACCTCTCGACTTGTGCGTGTTGTCCATGCGCAGAGGCCAAGCCTAATTTCTCTGTTATATGCTTCAATCTTCCCAGATGATCCCCCAAGGAAAGAACCCAGGTAGGGAATGTTCCACTTGTCGACGACAGTCTGCCACCTGAGTTTTGCAATTATGGAATGGCATGCGCTGTTGAGTCAAGTGCCATCATACCAACCCATCAGGTACAGGAGCGGTACAGGACTCATGGGGGCTGCGAAAACCTCGGGAGCCCGGCGCGTCGAAGGAAGACTGATGAGGCATCTGGGCCGAGCAGAGGCTGCGAAGGCCTCAGGTGCGCAGCTTGGGAGATGCTCCGCACATACCGGAGCATAGGTCAGGCTTTGTGCGCATAGGTCGGCGCGACCGAACAAAATCGTGTGATTTTGTTATTGTACCAGGGTGTCGCACAACACTCGTGCCTAACAAGTGCAAGGCGCTGAGCATCGCCGAAACAAAGAAACATGTGCAAAAGGCCCGTGCTGTCTTGAACAGGCTTCAGGAGCTGCTGCTTGAACTTCGAATCCTTGAGCTTTCAACATGGGAAGTGGCATGATGTACACGATATTCTGGTACCAGTAGTATACAATTATGGGACTGTACAGAGTGCTCAAGAAGAATCCAAGCCCCGCGCAAATGCTGCACGCTCTGCAGCATCTCGAGTGGATGCGACATTTGCCATGTCGAACCAAAACATTCCAACCTCGGAATGGCGGTTGCTCAAAACTGCCCGCATACATCCCTAACCTGCGCACATCCACAAGAAGGCAACCACGGCAAGACTGATATAACTTTGACACAACGCAGTGATTGAGAGCCAACATCTTGGGTGGCCACATCTCCTTCCAGGCTCAGCTCCTCTGCTCGGAACAGCATCTTGCAAGAGATCTGCAGCAGGTGAAGCAGATGCATGCTGGCAAAACCAGCATGGCTCCTCCGCGAAGTGCTGCATGGCTTTTGGAATGAAGTCTCTGGGCCTCGAGTGGCACAGCACATCAATGTATACGAAAACGATAGACATCAGGGCATCAACCGCTGCCAGCGTTTGTGAGGTAGAATGCGCAACATGAAGTAGAATTCTGAAGCTGCACCAAAGTGCGAGGTACACAGCTCTTAAAGCAGCACCCTTCACGGCACCTAGCTATAACATGTAGTTTGCCACAAGCCACACGTACAGCCGCACAGCATATGCCAAGCTCTCTGCAATCCATTCCGGCTGAGGGCCTCAGCAAAGAGCTGAACTCTGTATCCCTAAAACCCTCAAAGAAACCCAAAATCTAGGCAAGGCCACTGCTCCGAAAACGCAACAAACCGGTAACTCTCGCTCAAGCCGATCTTGAGAATCGTTCGGCGGCTCTAACTCCACTACTTGGAGGAAAGGCGGCTACTCCTTAACGAGAACACCATACTGCTGGTCGGGTGGTCGGGTAGACGACGTGAATGCCGACAGTTTTGCATGGAAACTGCTCAAAGAGCCACATTGCAACCTGGCCGCATCAAGCGCCCAAATCAGGATGGACAGGTCGAAGGCCGTGCGCTCACGAATCTTGTGACGGCCCTGCTCCTGCAGCAAGCTGCCGCAATGAAACATAGGAACACGAGCCTGCCATAACATGCCGCATGCGCCAGTGCTGTTGATGCAGGCAGCGCCGCGGCGGAGCCGTATGTGCCATATATGCCATATGTGCCATAAATACCATATGTGCCATAGACGCCATATATGCAATATGCCAACAACGGCCGATGTGTGTAGATACAGATAGCTTCAACCATTCCAGTCGGTGCAACACTTCCAGAGCAAGGGCCCCCAAGATTAGCATGGAGCACAAGCAGCGCACCACAGCCGCAGACAGCAGCTGCCCGCCAATGTAGCCGGGCCGTGCCAGCCACCATGCGCTGTTCCTGGCGGAGATGCTGCAGCAATTCGAATATATAATTCGAGGGTTTGTGTAAATTCTTCAGGACGCCCGGGAAAGTTGGCTTTAGCTGGCAAACCTGTCTTGGTAGAACCCCCTCCCTCCTCCCCTCCCTCAAAAGGGGAGCAACATTAGACAGATCAGAGATGTAGGGCCAAAGCGCGCGGGGAAGCTGATTCACCCTGCGTCGAGGATCATGGAACCCAAGCCCAAAGGGGGGTGACGTAGTCAGAACGCTTGTGATAGTTAGACGGCTCCAACAGCCGTACAGCCGTACAGCAGTGTTGGCTAGGGTGGGGTACGGAAATCGGGAGATGCAGGGCTTGCATTTTGTCTCAACCTGCGCTGGCTCCACGCGAGGTTCTGGGCGGTGGGATTCCGGATCTTCAGGAGCGCAGCATCTCAAGCGGCTTCTGACAGTGCCAGGCCTCGCAGACGGAATTGCAGCATGGGGATCCTATTGTTCGACAATCGTTGGCGGTGTGGGCTTGAACGGTTTCGGCCGGCCGGTGGGCCCAGGGTCCTATAAAGGCAGCTTTGCTTACCACCGAGACGGTGTCCTGTTGGGAAACTCACAGGTTCACATGCTGGCATATTCTGACTTTGACCACTCCTCCTGCAAGCGGTGCTGTAACAGCTCAAAGCTCCAGACAATTGGATGCTTGAAGAACGCCCTTCTGTAAAAGCCGCTTGGCTGTGTGTGTTCTGCGCGCTTTCTCGACTTTCCTAGAGATTCTTCGTTCATAAAAGCAGGCATGCGCACACCGAAAACAGCAATCCCGGAACTCTGGGGCATCTTCTCTCCAGCTCGAGCTTGGCAGATGCCCAGACAAGGTTCGCCAGCCTGGTTTCGCATGGGGATACATTCATTATATTACGTGGAAGTGCTGGCTGGATGGGCCGATTTGCGGAGCGCTGCTTTCGGAATAACTAAGGCTTATAGGCACTTCTAAGGGCTCATAGTCACCCCGTTCCGAACCGAGGAACTCCAAATTGGCAAGTGCCAGGTTCGCCAGACAGTACCTTTTGGTCGTACCTTTCCTGGCACATGTTCCCCCTTCACCCCATCACACCTTGAGACCCGGACTAACCCCCTTATAAGCTGTGTCCTGCCCGTGATCTGACCGTAACTGCCCCTCTTCTAAGCAGCGTCGCGCCCCTGAATATGCCCTTGAGACCGTAACTCGCACATCTTTGTCAGAAGGTAGCAGACCGCAGGGAAGGTGTCAATACAATTCAATATACCAATAAGGGCGTTTTTATTCATACAGGGAGCCGTGGTGTATCCTGTGCTGAATGAGACTCCCGGGATGGGAAGTGGCTCGACCACCGAGGTGTGACCTATGATGCGTATTCTGCAAGCAGCACTTGCTGATCGGGGCTGTCGGGCGAGGGACGAAATTGAGTCAACGGCATAAGGGCATACTCGACCTGCTTAGCCCAATCACCCTTAGAGCATATTCTGCGAAGACCGAGCACAGACTCGCAACTTTGTATCCACATATGCCGCGTAAGAAGATGAAAAGTCTGGGACTGGACTCATTGGCCGTGGCCGAGGGTGTATGCCGCTCCTTTGCAAAAGCTAGAGGTTGGGATGTTCCCCCTTATACGAACAGTCCTTAATGGGGATTACAGTACCCGCTACTATATGCCCTGTTAAGGACTGTTAGTATAAGGGTGAACATGCCAAGCTAGAGGTGCCAAAGCTGATCAGTCGGGAAACCTCTGCCTCACGGCCTCCGAGTTCCGTCCATGGCCAGCGCTCGGCGCCAGCGTTCCGTCTGGCCAACATACACCTACACATGGAGATGCCACTACCGGCAACAATTCAGCTGGCTGCCCACCTTGCAAACATGAAGGATCTGGTTTTGCCTAAAAGCCCCGAGAGGCTTCGAGCTGAATGCAGATAAGAACTAAGTGAACCAGGTTTCGAGGAATCTAGGTGATGCTAGCTACAAGCACCGGCTGCCGCAGCTTCATATTGCTTTTGTAGCATTCCGGCATTTCTGCCCAAGGACCTCCTGAACCATGTGAAGGGTCGCAAAGCCAAATCTTTGGCTAAGCATACAGGCCACTTCCTCTCCTGTCCTAAACCCTAAGCCCTAAACCCTCAACCCCAAACCCTAAACCCAAAAACAAGACGTCCCAACACTGTAAATGGCTTCCCGGATCCCTTTGTAGGTCCTCTGAGGAGATCTGCGCTTAGGGGCATCTCGTGGAGACATCCGTTCGCTCGGCACTGTGCGTTCACAGCGACCCGGTATTTTGAAATCTGTACTGCCAGGATCGCAACTTAAAGTGGAACGGCCGAGGGGTGTGCTAAAACAGCCCGGAAACTCGGGTTGAAACTATTCTGCGTCCTTGCCGGTCGGACAGTCACTATTGGACTGTAGTGGCAAGTTGTAGCCACTTCTGTGTTTCGTGTGCAAATGCGCTCTGTTACAATCCCGTTTGATTGCAGTACCAGGCGTGCTGAAGGGGCAAACTGGGCCAAGAGTACTTTCGGCGCGTGTTTAAATCCGGACAGGGACCTGTACATGCAATGCAGCTGTCTGCAGTTGAAAGCTGGCACATGTTGTTCTGGCACTAACGACGCACGAATGTGTTTGGAGTGAAGGGCTCCACCATTGGTGAGTTTTCAACGTGCAACAGTGATGTGATCACGTGCTGCGCCTGAATGTCAGGCCAAGCCAGATCACGAACTCCTTTCATCGGCCGATGCTGGACCCAAGATCATATCCTAAAAACAGCTGCGCGATACACCCTCAAAGCTTGTGATGAACGAAACCGAACAGTTGCCAAGGCCGGAGAACGCCTCAAACATGGGTCGTTGCATCCACGGCCAAGTAGGATGCCTTGTGACGGGCAGATGCGGGTCCGAGCGTGTGTGCGTGCGTGTGCGTGTGCGTGTGCGTGTGCGTGTGCGTGTGCGTGTGCGTGTGCGTGTGCGTGTGCGTGTGCGTGTGCGTGTGCGTGTGCTTGTGCGTGTGCGTGTGCGTGTGCGTGTGCGTGTGCGTGTGCGTGTGCGTGTGCGTGTGCGTGTGCGTGTGCGTGTGCGTGTGCGTGTGCGTGTGGGTGCGGGTGCGTGTGCGTGTGGGTGTGTGTGTGTGTGTGTGTGTTGCGCGCTTGTGTTTGTGAAGGTTGTCATGCCCTGGAGCCTGCAGAGCCTTGCAAACAGCAAACGTAGAGCTACGAGAAGATGACCAGAAAATTGCAACACGAAACTAGCAACCACAGGCCTTCAGCAGCCCCCGGTCCACAGCATCTTTCACCAGCTTCCCGGTGCACTCTCGACCTCGGGCAACAAAGCCGTCAAGAATCAGTCAAGGGTAGCCGCCGCAGCTGGAACTGGTAGAATCTCAACCATGGTCTCTCTATGTCTCTCTCTCTCTCATCGTGTGTCTTGCTGCAACTGGATCAACATACAGAACGTGACAGGCCCTGACCCTAACCGAGGCTCTGCTGTCGGAATCCCCGCAAGCTCTGTCCAAAGCTCTCCTCATCCCGACCAGTTCTCCGACGAAGCGCAGTCCGGGAAGTCAAGGACCAAGTCCCCCTCAATGTCGCGGATCTCATGGAAGGCCCCTTCGACTTCCTGTGACTCCGATACAAAGATGAAAGATGTGTCTCTCAAAACAAAGATGAAACATTTTGTCTCTCAATAATCCTTTACACTTAGGATGGCGCATGACGACTGACTTTCCGAGCCGATGAAGCGGGATAACTTGTTGGCACTCTCTCTCACATGATCTCTGATGCTCTGGGCACGAGCTCCTGCTCACACCAGCAGAAGCCCAGCAGCTCCTTCACGTCACAGGCTACATAACAAGAGTGGCGCTTCAAACGCAACGCTCTACCCGTCGTGCAGCAGGTAATCTTGGATGATGCCTCCCTATGACAACTGTCTGCCTGAACGGCGAAGAGCGCAGCTTCCGTTTCCTTTCGCTCCATGCCTGCTCGATATTGGTTTAGGGTTTATAGGGTTTAGGGTTTAGGGTTTAGGGTTCAGGGTTTAGGGGCTTCTGAAGTGAACTTCTACAGAAAAGGGCTACAGTCCATGCCTGCCACCAAGAGCTTGCGAAGGAACGTCACCTTGTCCGGAGCATGCAACGCACAAGGCGGTCGAGCATTTCAGCACATTTTGTCAAAGCACACACATGGTTGGGGGTCGAACACCCTAAACCCTAAACCCTAATCCCTAAACCCTAAACACGCTCTGCTACCGTTCTCTGCAGCCGCTAAACCATGTTGAGAAAGATCAGACACGTTTTCAGAGCCGATCGCCCGATGAAACTGTATGACGCCAGTGTAGACTGCTCATACCAAAGTTCTTTAAGCAGCGGCAGCATCTGGCAAAGTCACGCTTTTGTAGTTGGCGCAAATGATGCACAAAGAAGCTCGCGAGCTGCAAGCCCGAATGGTTTTTGGGATTCTGGAGCCAACTCCACGGTGACCCAACCGGCCTGCTCTTTGCCAGACAGGTGCAGCTCTTCCAGAACTTGTGCCAGCTCCTCCGTACTGCGGGAGTCGAAGTACCTGCATAGGATTTCAGAATACGAATGGCAACTGGCGCCGCCTTCCGAAGCTGACCTTCTATACATGGGCCATTGCCGCCAAGCAACTCTTCGATCGTGTCGTGCATCTCAGCCCGCATCTGTCGCAAGTCTCCAGAGCCCCACCTGGGTTTATATGAGCTATAGGAAGACGTATATTTTTTTTGCCAGCCAGCTAGAGCAACACCCCATTTCCGACCGAACTGATTATCTGCGACCTCCTTGCGCCGCACAGCTGCAAAGAGCAAAGACCCAGAGATCACAACCGTCGCAGTTTCCGTCCATGTCCGACTTGTATGGTTTCGAACCTGGACGTGCGGCCATTTTTTATCCGAGCTGTCCTGACATGTCCTGAAGCTGAGGCCAGCACACGCGACGCGAATGCAGCGGTGTCTGCCGCTGGGCAGTGCGCAGTGCCTGCAAGGCTTGCTTCCCGGGTTTTTACAGTCTCCAACTTGGCTGCAGGGGCGGCAAAGGCCTCAACTCCAATCGATCCTCCGAAGCGCAAGCGCCGGGCGATCTTGAGAAACTGCGCCGCAAGCAGCTCTTTCCTGAGTACGGCTGCTACCTGACTCTAATTCTCTGATATACAACTAATTGCAATTTCAGCAAGGCACCCATGAAGTTGCGCCTCCCGCCGAAACTGTGCCGCAAGTATCATAACACTATAAGAGACGCGCTAGTATTAACTATTGAGTAGTTTCTAGGCAAGGATCTCGACGGCTGCCCGCAGAAGAGCCACCAAATGCGTCATGTCCTCGTTCTTGAAATTTGACCTTGGATATTTTCGATGGTGTGAATGAATCACCATTGGTGTTTGGGGCATGCATTCATTCATATGCTTACCCATATTCTTACTGCACTGGCTAAAGCCAAGGCATAAGCCATGCGTTTCTGCCTATGACTGCAAACTTTGATCGTAGCCAGTGCCGTGGCTACGTCTACAGACATTCCCACCTGAAAGCAACTTGCGGCAATTGGCTCGAGGCCGTTGCTGACGATGCCCAACACACGAGAGAAACCGATCTGGATGTCTGTCTCGCTCAGCAGCTGCTCCTTCCGAAATAATCTGCATTCCTTCTTTGCCCTACACAGAATCGATGGCAGCTAACAGGAAGTTCTATGGTTCAGGGCATCGATCGAAGCTTCGTGTTGTGTCTGATATCGAACAGATGGAACGCTGGAAGCGAAGCTGAGTGGGCCGAAAGCTTGCAGGGTGAGTTGAATCAACTGGTGCGAAGAAGCTCAAGTTGAATGTTGTCTTGCCTTGAGTTCTTGTATGGACGGATGTTGCACGGGGGTCTTGGGGGTTTGGCCTTGAAGCTGTGTGACCGGATGCCTTCATAACCGTCCTGTGAACCCGATCAGTGCCATCATGCCGTTCAGTGCCGTTCCACCACGCTCAGTCATGTTTAGTCATTTTCTTGTTAACTCCGCAACTGTACTATTGCTACTACTATTATGATTATTGTTAGTATGATGATTATTATTGTTGTTGTTATTATTATTAGTATTTTATTTAGAATGTCAAAAAAGGCAGGCCAACGTCCTGCGAAAGCTGGACCAAGGCCTCCAGGACCAGTCGACTCTTCTCGGCCCGGAGGCCTTAGCTGAGCACTACAAAACAGTTCCTGCAAAGGCAGGGTTCCCTCACAGCGATGAGGTTCGGATAGCCGGTCTTGGGCTTGCTTCTAGTTTCGTCCACCGGCAGAGAGCAACTAAGCTGTTCTTCTGGGTTGAGCTGCCCAGAGATCCGAGGTTCGAATGTAATTTCCCCCCCTCCCCTCCCACCTTGGCTGTCGAAAATGGACATCCAGAAGGCGTCGGCCATCGGCTGGCCGTTGAAGGAGCTGAGGCATGCGGCCACGACCACTTCGTGGTGGAATGCAGGCTTACCTCAGCTCCAGGGCTCAGGAGTTTTGTGGGGTGTTGGGGGTTCAGGTTTAGGGAATGGGGTGAGCTCTGGTCAGCTGCAGCAGCGACCTGAAGGCCGTCCAGCTTTCAGAGAACTAGGGAAAGTTCATCTAGGTCAGAAATGACTCTGTGAGGACATTGACGACTTGCCTGCTGCTGCTGATGCTCCACCGGAACCTAATGTCCAGTGCGTCTGGCAGGTGTAGGGGTAGTAAGAAGAGCAGGCGGGTGTGTAGAACACAAGCTTGACAACACCGTCCCTACAACATCCGCAGGTGGAGCCGAGAGATCCGAGTACAGCTTTTGACAACCACCGGCTCCCAAACTCCACCCCGAAAGTCGTCCAAGACCTCTTCAGTTGCAGTCTTGGGTGCATTCTTCGCGTAGCCAGCTGGCCAGGCCGTCCAGGGAGCCCGTCCGCAGCAGGTCATGCTCAACCTCTCTCCCCACCCCCATGTCCGCCCCTTTGTCAGAATACCGCCCAAAGAGCCCTTGCAGCCCTTCGCGACGGATGCAAAACACAGCAAGCCCCAGAAACGTCACGGCCTTACTCAACATCTCGGTCTTGAAGGCCGTGAGCTCCTCCCAAAGTTCAGCATATGGGGGCGCTTCACGAACACCCCTAAGGATGGACAACTTTCATGCCGAAGAACCCTAAACCCTAAACCCTAAACCCGAAACCCTCCTCCCTGCTGAACCCCTAAACCCTAAACCCAACACCCTAAACCCTAAAAGCCGGTTGGCAGATCTTGGACTCGGCTCCTCCAGATGGCTGCGGATGGTCCGCTGCACGACGCTGGGCGGCATCTCTGCGCAAACCTTCACCAGCAACTCCTGCAAGGTTTAGGGTTTAGGGTTTAGGGTTTAGGGTTTAGGGTTTAGGGTTTAGGGTTTAGGGTTTAGGGTTTAGGGTTTAGGGTTTAGGGTTTAGGGTTAATGCTTGCGAGCAAACTTCCCCAAGAGCCATTGCGTCATCAAAAGCTATAAAAACTATGATGCTTCTTATGCTAGTATATCAATACTATATCACATTGCTTATATTGTTCTCGTTTTATGTCCATAATATTGTTGTTATACTATAGTTCCGTGCCATTCAGTTCTAACTCTTCTTGTGCTAGACATCGTCTGGAGGAGCCCCCGTCTAAAGCAGCCGATGCTCCTCTGGGAGTCGAGCAAACCTGAAGATGCCCCCAACACATCTGAGGGCAGTTATGCAGATTGTGGGGCTTAGGGTTTAGGTTTCTTTTTGGTAGTAAGGTTTCAGGGTTTAAGGCCTAGGGTTTCGGGTTTAAGGTTGACCCTTCTGGTACCGCAACAGGTGGTAGTTGTGCGGCTGCTCTTTACCATTTCCTGTTATTTACCTCAGCAAGGCATCTTTTTGGGACTGCCACTGTGGTGGATGTGACTAACTTCAAGATATTCCTGGCACGAACGCGCATCAGCAATTCTGCTCCCTGTGCCAGCACAGATACCTCTGGCACTAATGGGGTCCACGGAGCGCTGAAGGCTTAAAGCTTCTCCTAGGCATATAGGCCACGTCATCCCAAACATCCCCAAGCCCTAGAACCGGAACACTGAAACGCTTCACAACCGACCTGCAACCTTCCCTGCAACCGGTGCTGTACCATAGACTTCCTTCCTTATCTTTCCCAAGCGGCAGGCTCCGGTCAAAAAGGCCAACACGCGATGAGAGCAGCGACACCAGCCTAGGCTGATTTACCATTTAGGGTAGCACTTCTCAGGATTTCCATAGGCTTCCGGCTTTCATAAAGCCTCCCTGAGGCAGCTCTGCTCTGCTGGTAGGTGATCACATGCTCAACAGCTAAAAATCATAGAGCTGCTACCCTTGCAGACACTTGGCGTAGCCTGCAACAACTTGCACTTGCACCCGCAGACAGCCGCGACATCATCAGTTGCTCTCCCGCTGGCAACTTGAAGACCATGCAACTAGTCAGACTAGTCAGTGTAGCATTTCTCAGCCCGACATCGCAGTGCCTGCCCGTCGTCATGGCACCCGGCCCGAATGTCATTCGCAACTTCTCAATTCTGCCCAGCCGCAGCCCGGGCGCTCCGGGAACATCGAGTTGCAGATCCTGTACACATTATATAAGATATTTTATATGTAATGTATTATATGTAATGTATTATATGTAATATATATTATATGTAATATATTATATGTAATATATTATACTATGTAGTACATTATATATATATATATATATACATACATATCTACATTATAAACAACATGTAGCATATGCTATATATATATATATATATATATATGTATATATATATATATGTATATCCGCCGACCCCAGCGGGAGCGGGGGCGGCGTCAGTGAAGACCCATTGCCCCTACCACCTACTCCACCCCATCCAAAGCTCGACCGGCCCCCAGTGCATGCCCGCCCGCTTGCCCTACCCCCACCACCCACGCACCCCGCCCCCCGCTCCTTCCCTTGCCCAAGCCCCCCACGCACCCCGCCATGCTTCTCATGGACCCATGGCTCCTCCCAGTGCATGCCCGCCCGCTTGCCCTACCCCCACCACCCACGCACCCCGCCCCCCGCCCATCCGCCCTTCCCGCTCCGCATACTCCTTCCCTTGCCCAAGCCCCCCACGCACCCCGCCATGCTTCTCATGGACCCATGGCTCCTGGTCCCATTCTTCATCCCAAGCTCGACCGGCCCCCAGTGCATGGCCGCCCGCTTGCCCTACCCCCACCACCCACGCACCCGCCCCCCGTCCATCCGCCCTTCCCGCTCCGCACGCACCCTGCCCGCCGCCCATGCTTGTCATGGATCATGGCTCCTGGCCCCATGGCTCCACCCCCCCCCCCCCCCCCACCCCCAACCCCCACCCCCAACCCCCCAACCCCCACCCCCACCCCCACGCACCCCACTGGACCCATGGCTCCTGGCCCCATTGGCTCGTGGTCCACGGCCCAGACTTTAAAGGGTCAGTGCATGCCCGCCCCCTCCGCCCACTGCCCGCTCCGCCCTCCGCCCTTCCAGCTCCGCCTACTCCCCCTCCATCCCCTCGACCTCCCCCGCTTGGCCCGCTTACCCCACCACCCACGCACCCGTTCCCCGCCCATCCGCCCTTCCCGCTCTCCCCCACCCCCAACCCCCACCCCACCCCGCACTGCCCCGCCGCCCATGCTTGTCATGGACCCATGGCTCCTGGCCCCATGGCTCCCCCCACCCGGCCCGCTCCGCCCTCCGCCCTTCCAGCTCCGCCTACCCATGCTCCCACTCTCCATCCCCTCGACCTCCTCCCCCGCTTGGCCCGCTTGCCCTACCCCCACCACCCACGCACCCCCGCCCATCCGCCCTTCCCGCTCCGCATACTCCCCCCCCTTGCCCAAGTTCCCCACGCACCACGCCATGCTTCTCATGGACCCATGGCTCCTGGTCCCATTCTTCATCCCTCGACCTGCATGGCTGCCAATGCTCCCCCCCTTGCCCAAGCCCCCCACGCACCCCGCCATGCTTCTCATGGACCCATGGCTCCTGGTCCCATTGCTGCCAAGGCTGGTCCTATATATGGCCCCTGCTCCACCCCCACCCCCAACCCCCACCCCCACCCCGCATGCACCCTGCCCACCCCCTCGCACCCACACCCCCAACCCCCACCCCCACCCCCCACGCACCCCGCCCCCCACTGGACCCATGGCTCGTGGCCCCATTGGCTCATGGTCCACGGCCCATGGATGTGGCTTCTCAGCTGACTTTAAAGGGCCCCAGTGCATGCCCGGGCCCTCCGCGCTCCGCCCGCTCCGCCCAAGCAGGTGGTCCGCCCCTACCCCCACCCACGCACCCGCCCCCCGCCCATCCGCCCTTCCCGCTCCGCATACTCCCCACCTTGCCCAAGCCCCCCACGCACCCCGCCATGCTTCTCATGGACCCTTGGCTCCTGGTCCCCTTCTTCATCCCTGCTGCATAGCTGCCAATGCTGGTCCTATATATGGCCCCTGCTCCACCACCACCCCCAACCCCCACCCCCACCGCATTTAGCCCCAACTCCCTGCGCATCAGGGCTCCATGTTTCGCCCCCCTGAACTCTACAACCTGACCAAGCCCTGCGCATATATCTATATATATATATATACATAATCCGCGGCCGGAGCCCACAGTGCCTTGGCCCCCCTTGGAGGGGGTCGGCGGCACTGGCGGTAGCCATTATATATATATATATATATATGTCGATGGTTGGCTTATTGCTCTCGAGGTGGGCCCATTGCTGGATGGTGAAAGTCTCTTCCGCAAGCAGGCTGCAACTGACATGTCGGTAGTGACCCAGCAACAGAACACCAGTGGCATCGCTTCAGCGACTCCATGAGAAGGCAGAGGCAAGTTCTACGATGCCCAACCTCCCAAGCGAGGACCAACTTCTCGAATCCTGCAGTGTCCGAGAGGCTAAGGATCTTCTCTTCTTGCGCCGCTTGGGTTCTAGGCTTAAGGCTGAAGCGAAGTTGTCCCTTTGTCCCTTCTCGAGGGCTGCCACCATACAGTACAATTAACAAAAACCACAGCCCACAGTCGCGAACAGTTCAGCAGCTAGAACTTGCCCAGCGCACGTGCCGAGTGCCTACACAGGCACCACGTCTGCACCAGAAACATTTCTCCCTCATCCATTTTGATCCTTAAGAATAACTTCCAACTCGATGCAGCCAATGTAGTTGAAGAACGCTATGCCAGACAGAGAAGGCGCAATCACAATTTCATGCCACTAGGTCGACAGGTCTTCTCCAGGCTACAAAGTGCGCAGTGTGCGCGACACCTTACCAAAATGCCAACCATTGCCCATTTATATCTGCAACGAGAATCACGCAATGCCCTCCAAAGGCTTCATCAAAAGTGTCTAGCTTCCTGAACTGCATTGCTGTGTCCTCGGGACAGTTGAGCTGTGGAGAGCAGGCCAGCATCATGTAAGGCTGCCAGCAAGGGGACGACGGTGCAGCGATCCTGCATGGTGGAAGGCGGGAGGCAGTTTGTGTTCAAGAGCCGAGGGCTTGCAGGCTGTTTCTGAAGCCGAAGGGTCGCATGTGCAACACAGCGTGCAAGCTTAGCTTCGAGTTTAGTCGCAGGCCATGGTGTGCATGTTTCCGCTTGCGGTTTGCAAAATCATCCTTCTCTCGCTGATCCAGAGAAGCGCGCAGCAGCATCGCCGCCAGTTCATCGTGAAAGGCTGAGCAGCTCATGCCCCTGACAGATGCCAGCATGCCTGCGCACTGCTGTGGGTTCCGGCAGGTAACGAAGGAATGCGTGGGCATGTGCTACAGAAGGGGGCAATGAAACTCTGCCTTCACGACTGGCATGAGCATGGAAACTTCTGGTTCGATGGTTTGCAATGATTTGGAAGCTGCCTTCCACATCGCCAGAGCAGAAGAACTCCGTGGCGAGGAGCATTGCTTGTCGCTTGAACTCTTTGAAGTCAAGCCTGCATCTCATGCATCTCAGCCGGAATGGCTTTAGCTCTTTAACTGTCAGCTCTCGACTTCACCTGACTTCGATGCATGTGCAATCATGCGCATATGACCTTTTGGGCTTCCGACTGAAGACTCTAAGGCCGCGCTCACTTCCGCATTGCCCCAGGCCGCTCTCCTCGCCTTGTGTCATCTGGAGGGTCTGCGCAGGTAGGAGATGGAACCTACCGGAAAGCTGCAGGCTTTGGGGACAAGTCCAGCGAAGCTCCTCACATACTTGTACGTCTTGGGGGGACAGGGGCGGGGTGAGTGTGCCGACCCTTGTCCAAGCTGTTCCGGGTTCTCAAACATTCAAAAAGGATTTCTCCTCGCTTACTAGTCCTGACTACCGGTACATGTCTGTTTTTCTTACACGGCTGCTTTATGGGGTGGGGTGGTGACCTTTCCCACCTTCTCCGTTCTTCATAGTGTTCTGGTGGTACCTCTTAGCTCCTTCAACACCCACAGGTGTGTTGCTTGGCCTTGCAGTCCACCAGCCGGCAGTTCGGCGAGATCTGGCGGGCGAAGGAGTGCCCCATCTCAGCATCCAAATCCATCTCCTGGGGTTTCCAAAGGAGGGAAGGCAGGGAGGTTGCGCAACTCTCACTTTCTTCAAGCGCCCCGGGACCTCCTGGGACGCTTTAGGACAAAGCACAGACGCATCCCAGAATTCACTTGGCCTGTGAAAGGGTGCATCGTCAGCGAGCGCCCGGTCGTGTGTTTACGTTTAGTTGGAAGGTACTATGGCGTTTGCGTATTTCGAAGACCCAGCTCACACCCCCTCCCCGCCGCATAGCCGTCCAAAACATGGCCAAATGTCCTAAACCATTCAACCATTGGTCTCCCAATGCCCTTTCGGATACTCACATCTGAGCACTATTCACTATTAACAAGAGGAAGCACACCCAACCTGATAACAGTTTTTCCACCCCATGCCCTCAACCAGCATCCCTGAATAAAAACCAGGGTCCGGCAGCAAGGGGGGGGGGGGGCTCGTCAGGGGTCCCCCAGAATCCAAGCCCTCCACCGTGAATTTAAGGCCGTAACCGCGAAGCTCTCAACCTCAAAGCCTCGCCTCCCCCCCCCCCCCCCCAATTGGCAAACAATTTTAGCACTGGGCTGACAGTCGGGTCAAGCCCAAACAATGATTTCAAATCAAGCCGATGAGTGCTTTGTGGCATGTGGTGAACCCTATGGCCCTATGCGTCCTCGTGTGAGCCCCAACTTGGTCCTCATCATACAGGTTTCGCCCTCAAAACCAACCTCTCTAAACACCATGCATCCTAGAACCGACCTCCCCCCCCCCCCCCCCCCCCCCCCCCCGCTGCCCCCCCCAAGCTGCCGGGCTGCATCCAAGGGTTGTGGATGATGGCCGGGCCGGGCAAAGCTGTGCTGTCCGCAGGTTGCCGTTGCCTCGGTTTGTGTTGTTCTTGTTTGAGGTTTAAAGGGGCTGTTTGCTTTTGGGGTTGTGAGGCTTCTGCTCATGGCGTTCAGGTGCCGTTATTATGCAAGGTCACGGTGTGCTGCTCGGATTCCGGTGGCATCAGGCGGTGTGCTGGCAGGGCACTGGAGCAGGTTCTTCTTGTAAGGTATTCAACGTCATAAGTCAGCACGAGGCGTCAGACCCCAAACTGCCATGTTGAAAGCCAGGAATAGAAGTAGACGAGTATAGAGAAGCAGACGAAGCGCGAGGATATTCACCTACCTGATCTGTATGCGAAGTAAACCCAAGACTTTCGGATCCCTCGTTATAGAAGATTGCAGCTTGCCATGGGGGTTTACTGGGCTTACGAAAAAAAGGGGACCCCCAAAAAAGCGCCCCCCCCCCCCCCCCCCCCCCCCAAAAAAAAAAAAAAAAAAAAAACGACCCCCTTATAACAAAGGACTTCAATAAGGTACCCTACTACTAATCTCGGAAACCACCATCTAGCTTTATGTTAGACACACTTACATCTGGCCCCTGCAGCCGAAGATCGGTGGCCATCGGGGCAGTCGACGGGTGGACCGGGATGGCGGAAGGAGCGAGGATTCAAAGGGGGAGCTCTCGAGCTGCCGAGGCTGCACGGGTTTAGGGTTTAGGGTTTAGGGTTTAGGGTTTAGGGTTTAGGGTTTAGGGTTTAGGGTTTAGGCTCGTTCGTGGGCAGGTGCTCCCTGCAAACCGACGAAAACATCTCACACGCTACACCCCAAAACGTGCAACCTATTTCAGGGCTTTACTCGGCATTAGGGTTTAATGTCATAGACCGTGGTACTGGTAACCGAGATGACAAGACTCGCCGAGACTACAGCGAGGACAGCGCCAGCCGGAACTCCCAACAACCGTCATCGCTTGACATCGACTTCGACACTGTGGATCACCGGGGGTCAGGCCCCAGTTCGTCTAAGCCTCTCAAAGCTGCGTTTAGAGTCTTGGGGCTTAGGGTCCTTTTGAAAAAGATGATGGAAGACCATCCCTGCATGGCTTTTCCGCTTTTCCGGGCCCAGCATCACCAACCTTCACCTCCAGCCTTAAGTAACACAAATGACTCCAATGCCAAGCTCAATCTGCCAAAAAATCTGCGCCTCTCATCGCGGCAATGGCCCGCGCAGCTGCGGAACCTTTTCGGAGTGATTCGCAAGATGTCTCAACCCTGTAGGTTGGCCGCCCAGGGGCTGCAGCAAGGATGGGATGTCATACTTTGCACGATCCTTGCGCTCGAATCTAGAGCAAAGGATTTGGGCTACGCAGTTTTGGCTCAGGATGCTTCGGCTCATTGGACAGTGGCTCCGCCAGGCTTTCTCAAGCAGCCTAGTAGCCAACCATAGCAATCTGGGATTGAAGACAGGTGCATCTGCACCCGCCGCAATATTTCAGCTGTAACCAAGAGATTCGGTGCAGACCTACGCAAGAAGATGTAAGGAAAGTCTTCATGTTAGGCAAGCGATGTTTGGTATGCTTGGAAGACGTCATGGGATGCAGGCTTGGCAGTTGCCAAGATGCCGTGCCAATGAAGTGTGCAAGCGAGGCAGGCCTGTCACCTTCTTCGTGACTGAGCTCTACATGGACATGCAGTAAGTGCTCAGCCTTTTGCTCGGCTTCCCACTTGTCACTTGGGGGACTTGGAACTTAAGAAGGCCATTTCGTTGTTGTACATTCGCCATGTCGTGCAGCCGTGCTGCACAAGTTGACATACCTGCTCGGTCCCGAGCTGCTGAAGAAATACAACCATGGACAGCAGACACATGGATCTTGTATCGATGCTCGACTTGTCGGCTCGACATTGAAGCTCTGGATAGCTCGGTTAATGCTTTGAGAGTTCTGGTTGCGATTGCCAGAATGCCTCTGAACCACTGCACGTACACAATGCACGCATAAGCTCGAAAAGCCCCGACTCCCTGCTGAGCTCAGAGAACCCGGTGCAAGCTTGCAAAACAACTTCGCACAGTACACTCTCACCAGGATTCTGAGATATGTGTAAGTCTGGGCATCACGCTCATAGGCATCTCGCCGGTCACGGCCAGTCTTGCAAGACACCATGCCTGTAGCTGATGACCCCTCCAGGATTCAGAACATGCATCTTCTGCGAGAAGCATGGCAAGCTTGCAACCAGTCTGGGGTGGGGCAACAGGCTGCGCATTAAGGCAAACCTGTTAGGAACACATTTGGGCGTGTCTGCCTCGGGTCGCACATCAGTGGCCAACGATACTCTGTAACGACGAAAGCTAGGACGAGGACCCATGGAGAATTTTACTTTGCAGGTGACATGTCACATGCATCCCCTCCATTTACAGGACCATGGTGCGACCTACCGTGTCTATCCGTGTCTGGGATCCTGGCAGCATTTGCTGGATCCTGGCAGCTTGACACGGACACCTGCAGGAAAAGCATCCTCTGACGGTGGTGACGAGAACTTTCGGCTGGCGAGCAAACAGTGAAGAACCTTGCGGCGACATTCGGCCGCGATCGCATGGGTTGACGGCGGCCTCGGCTGATTGAAGCTGACAGCTTTTTCTGAAGATCTTACAGCTCGAGCCAGTGGCTATCTGGGCTCCGAAGTCCCAGCAGCCCATCCGACGTTGGAGATGTTCTGACCTTTTTCGGACCAGGTGCAGACATATGCACGCCAGATTGCATTTGCCACCCGTAGCGCAGAAGCGAAGCTAACAGCAAGCTCTCCGTCGATCCCCCAAATACAGTACGTCTAGTGGTAGCCAAGCTACAGCTGCGAAAAAACTCGAAAGTGCGGACAGTTATGTGCCCTCAGCCAAGGTGAAGGCTCTGGAGCTCTGCGATCTTCTCAACCTCAAGTCGTGGCATCCTCTATGGCTGCCTATGGCTGAAAAGAGCACACGTCGCAACCCCTCAAAGCATGTCGGCAAGCCGAAGCAGGAGCTCGGTTTCAGGCGGAGTACTCGCCGACGGCATTCATCGAAGGCTGCTCCAGCAACACAAGCCGAGCCTACAAAAGCTGTGCACTCAACTTCATCTTGCTGAGTAGTGTACAGATTTGAGATGCATTCTGGGGCTGATTTGCAGCGTGGAACTGCTACTATCGTTGCCAATGAGCGCTTCTTCACCTATCCCCGCTACCGAGGCCTCTGCTTTCAGCGCTGCAATTTATGCCGCTTGTCTAGCATCCCAAGGCTACCATGTTCGGCAGGGGCACCATTGCAGGCCTTTACAAAGGCACATTCTCATCTGGAATGAGAAGGACAACTTTTCAGCAGCGACCGTATCATGCATTTTGGGCACGTTCCCGAGCACCCTTCAGGAATGAGCACCCCTCAACACTCTTGCTACTTAAAGGGTCTTCCGTAAGAGTGTTCTGAGCTGCTGGCCCATGCCCGTGCAATGTTGGCCGGCCCCTGCATGGTTGCGGAATGTTTTGGTGGGTCACGGTAGGTCTTCTCACCACCGTGCTATGACGTGCTATGACAGCCTCCTCTCCCACACGGCCTGCGGGTTCATCTCAGCCATCTTGTCCAGTGAGCAGGATGCAGGTGCTTCCTCGTGCTGAGTGCATCAGAAGGCCTAGAAAGGTAAAACCCCTCTACTCAACAGGCGCACTTGGCGAGATTGCAGACGAGCTCGGCTTGCAAAAGGTAAGTCGAAGCTTTCAAAGCGCAAGCATCGCGAGCAGCAAGATGCAGAGCTGTCCATGCACGGGTGGCGCAAGCAGTCCACATTCGCCTGGTTCAGGGAAGCTTAGGATGTCTCTGTTGTCCACCATTCGGCGTTGTTAACACATGCCTCTGTCTGTTTCTGCCTAGGTTCATGACAGGGATTCTTAGCATAACCTGGGCTCGGGCATGTCAGCCTGCCCACGCCGAGGGCCAGGCGAGGCCCCGAGCGGTGTTGGCGGGATTCTGCGCCTCTAGCTTTCGGCGGCAGTCGAAGGTTCACTGCGTGCAGTCGAAGGGGCATTTGAGGCACTCTGGGCTTGTTGCTTGATCATTAGCTGCTTGTCCCAATTCAGTGGCTGATGTCCCTGCCGCTCTTTGTTTAAACGCTGTAGACCGCGGTTCCTCACAGCCAGTTTCAGCAAATAAGCACAGACCATCACAACCTACACGCCCG